AACAATCTTTTTCAGAAGTTGTGTTTAAAAAAAACCTGTGCTTAAAGAAGGACAAATCAGAAATGAAAAAAAAAAAAAAATGTATTTTATTTGCATGGAGCTTAACTGGTTTTAACATAATTCCAGGATTTTTTTTTTAACATCTATACAAGTACACATACATACTGTTTTCATCAGTTTGTGCTTTCCACAAGTATGTAAGAAAATGGTATTTAAGAACAATTCCTTGGTGATAACGTTTACAAGCAAAGCTAGTTAGATTTGTAACCAAAGAAGCAGTAGGGACACAAAAATCCCAGCAGAGGAATGAGTACCAATCCTTCTCAGATGTATGGCAGTACTCCAGTTGACTTCAGCAGTGGTGGATTCCCTGGTATATGCTTTTTTTTCAATATAACTTTGAAATCTGCCTCATTGCCAGTCATATCACTTCTTTGAGCAAGCACGTGCTTTAGTTTTATCTGGAATTCACCTTGAGTGATCCTTCAGCAGAAAGCCTATCCATCACCTCAGTTCTCATGCACTGATAAATTTTTCAACATGGCCTAAAGCAATTGTTCACTCATGTCTCCCTTTCAGAGTTATTAATGGAAGGAAATACTGCCTATTTCTTGAGGTCATATTTTATTCACTCACGTTTATACATTTTTAGCCTGCTCAAAATTTTCTGTTTTCTAACAACGGTTACATTTTGCTCCTGACAAAGCGTCAGCTGGTAACAAACAGCTTTGGCCCTGAACACATGGCTCATTTTCATTCTGTAATTTTATCCCATGAAGCTCTTTATTATTCTATATTCTCTCTACTGTGAGCAATATCCCACAAGTCATTGCCAAATTGAGCAAGCTATAGGCATAATTGTGACAAGAGGAAGAAGACTGCTTATTGTTGAAATATATGATAGGGGAATAATAAATCAAGAACTCAGGCAACAGCATTAATGTATTTTAGCATGTTGGATTAATTTGGAAGTGTGGAAAATCAGAATGCTCTTGGGATATTTTTTCTTTTTTTTCTTTACCTCCAGCCACTTCTTAATGACCAAGTTAAGTAATCTAGTATGGGCAAATGACACTTATTGCACAGTTTTGCCTATGATACTATGTATTAAACACCCGTGGCAGGCTTTTGAACCAGAACATGAATTTATCATTTGTTTTATAATCACTTCAGAAGTGATTAATTATTATTTAGAGTCTGGTCTGTGCCCTGGGGAAATATTTAGACCTGTACTTAACTGTTTTAGATTGATTAATGTATCTAAAGCTATTTATATTTCTCAATCAGTAAAAATTTTTCATAGAGTATAATTTAGTTCAGGAGCATAGCCAATGTGAGGTGATTAACAGAGTTTTCAGGTGTGAGGAAGAAACTTCTAAGCAACTGAAAAATAGCAACCAATCTGTTGTCTGTGGCATTGACATTCTACAAGCATAGCTGGCAAGAGAGTGTCCTGGTTTGAGTTAGAACAGAACTAATTCTGTGCAGTGATTTTACTTTTCAGCTCAGTCTCTTCTAAGTAGCTGCACTTCCTGAAGCTAACTACCTATTGTCACAGAGAATGTCTGCTTCTAGCAGTGATAAAGCTCCCTCGATCTTTAGAGTTACTACCAAGAATCGTTGTGCAGACCCAGGTCACTGCTAAATCTTGTGTATGGCATTGGGGGTGCAGAAAGTAAAAGGCTGCACCTGCAGGGAGGAGCAGACAGGACAGGTGACCTACTGGCCAGCAAGGGATTCCAGCCCATATACGTCATATTGAGTATACAGCTGAGGGATCACAAGGGTCAAGCTTTCTTCTTCAATGGCCAGCATCCAAGGGGGACTCTGTCCATTCTGGCTTCACTCCCAGTCCATGTGTCCCTGAACACAGTTCCAGAATCCAATTCCTGAATAGTCTGGTGCCCATTTGCTCTGAGTCCTGGCTGGAATTTCCTCAGTACCTGCTCCACAACATCAGTGGTGATGGTGACTTAATTGCCATCAGGGGGATTGGGTCTGATACTGGGTTTATATATATTTCTATATAATCCATTTTATTGTTATTATTTTCATTAAAGCTGTTTTAGTTTTCTAATCCATAAATCTCTTTCCCATAGTTCCTTTTCAGAGGGGAGAGGGGTTAAAGGAGAGCATCTGTTACAGATCTAGTGGGCAGCCCAGACCCATACCCTTGACAGACCATGCAAAATTTACCTGCACTGGCACTGGCAAAGATCCCAGTCTGATTTAGAGGATCTCAACAGATATTATTTGTATCGCTTCAATTGCAGAGGCCATACCTGGTCTGTTGTGGTAGGCTGTTAAAGCTGCATCAGAGATCATCTGTTTGCTTTGTGCGGTCTGACAGAACAGTTTGCACCAACTGGTACTAACAGCTCGGGAGTGTGAGTTTAGTATTTAGCTAATTGCAAGTCTTGGGTGGCAGATACAGACTTTAAACGAAAAATTGATTCAATAATTTTGTCAGAAAATCATTATGATGTTATTATTACTGGGAACATTAAAAATTGTGTTTGTCTGTTGCATCATATTTTATTTAATGCATTGTTGTTCTTTTGCACTCCATTGAAATGGTTCTTGCTAAAGAGTGTACTTAGCTCTTCTTAACTCTCAAACCCATCCTCTTTGATGTATTACCTGCCAGCAGTCATATTCTTCTTTCTAGAATCTCATTTTTTCTTTGTTTCCATGGCCTTATTATTTCCCACATCTTCTCTTGTCTTTCTGATCATCACTTCAGTAAGTGCTTTTGAGTGATCTTTGTTGATACACTTCCATGTCATCTTTTCTGTATTTAGTTGCAACTACAACTTCAGCTGCTGTCTTTGTGGATGCAGATCACAGATCTGCTTCATTAATGCAGACCACCTCTTTCCTATCACACCAAGGTCTGTCTCCCAGATGTTCCCTTCTGAATGACACTCGCTATGTCTCTACCAGCAGTAGTGCGGAGTGGAGGAATGGGCAGATTAAGAAAGCAAAATCGTACCCACACTGTGGTCTTTGGGCAAAGAGGTTATTTCAGGCTAGCTGTGATCTAGTAACATAAACTGGATGCCCATTACCAGTTGAAGCGCTGCTTTGAGCAAAAGGACAGGTGCAGTCTTTCAACATGGGGTTAGGGTTAGTTTCTTCTAAAAGTTCATGAGCTCCAAGACTGCTCTGTGATGCAAACTACAGTTGAATAAGTGGGAACATTCTTCCAAAAGAAACACCATGTACTTTCTGCCATGCTCCCTCTCACACTTAGGGCTGTCTTTTTGGCAGATGCCTGTAAAAAAGCTTGAGGATTATTTGGATGTTAATCTACGATGGCATAACCTACCATGCTGACCAGTTGCCTACCTCTTTAAATTAAATTGCAAATTTTTTGAGGTGGCGTCTTCTCTTTTCTTAACACTGATGCAGATGGATAATTATTTTCTTATAAATGAGAATATATGATTATGATTTAATTCCTGTTGCAGCTCATCTACTGTCATCTCTTCTACTTCCGGAAAACTTCTCATGTCTTTGTTGTATAAGACATCTGGTCAGTATAGCTCAGCTACCAGCCAAGGATTTTAAGGACTGTTTCAATTAGCATCTCCCAGTCACAAAGAGTACAATCTTTGTCATCAGAAAGCAGAATCATATAAGGTTGCTTCTTGCCATTGTGGTCATTTTGGAGTTGTGTGGCTGGGTGGAGGGTGAGGGGTTTTGTACAGTTAAAGCACAGAATTAAAATGCTTCAAATATTGTTTTAGCCTTCAGTGCTGTGCATTCATTTTATCACTAGGGTACAGGCCTGCATTTAGTATAGTGGTTGTAACTGGCCAGTAGTGGCTCTGTTAGTTATGAAAAAGACGCTAGAAGATGAGAGAATGACCACACAGTCAGTACAGCGGCATTGCCAGGTTCAAGCTTACCAGTAAATTTACTGGAAAAGCTGCAGGGTAGCATTAAATGATGCAGGAGGAGAACACCTTCTATTTAACTCTGTCATCCTGAAGAATGACCAGGCTGTGTATCACTCGGTTCACTCGTGCATGTCAGTCTTTGTGTCTCTTGCGTGACGAGGCTATCCTCCATGAGACCAGCCACTATTTCTTGTGCCTCTGTGTCACCAGCCATAAGAGACTGTTGTTGGGCATCTCATGTTTTTTTTATTTGGCTGGCTAGTGTTTTTTTTTCTCTGTATCTTAGTAATAACTGTATAAATTAGGAACTAGTGTTAAAGAGGAAAAATATTATGAGAGTGAGGCACTGTTCAACTGGACCAGACTCCTGATCACCATGCAACACGGCTACTCACTTAAGCCCTCTGGACCCCTCTTCAGAGATATTCTGATTTTTCCCTTGACAGTTCAGGCCACCAAAACTATTATTCCATTTATTTCTCTGGGTCATACGGGTTTTGTGTGGCAGATCAGGTCTTTGGAGACCTAGATAAGAGACTTACACATTTCCTCATCAGCAACTTCCTATTCTCCCCTAGTAAACTTTACATGTGTCTAGAAGTCTTTCTTTATCAGGTGTTAGTAGATAGATAGTTAGATTTATGAGAAGAAAAGAACATATATTTTTCTTTGGTGCTGCCATCCCGAGGGTGCTCACATAAGGACTCACCTTCATTGGTTCAGATTTTCTGAAAGAAGACCCCATACTGTTTCTGTGCTACTTTCTCTTTACACAGAAAGTAAGAAATATTTTAGGCCTGCTAATATGGATTAGCTGCTTTGAACTGGTAGCTTTGCTCCAGAGAATGTTCTCAAGCAAGGCTGAACGTGTGTGTGTTTGTCTGCTGTACGTGTACCTGGGCAGTTTGTCTGTACTTTGTGGTTTGGATCTCTGCACAGCAGTGTTGTTGCCTAGCTGAGGCTGGTATAACACAAGATTAATACAGCATGTGTTGGTAAAGCTGATTTTAAATTTAAAATTACCATCAGTGTGCCCCTTTTAGTCACTTATTAGTCACTGCTGGCACTGATCTGCATTGCTTGTTTTTCCCCATTCAGATGTTGCAAGAGCAATTGAGTTACTGGAGAAACTGCAAGAATCTGGAGAAGTACCAGTACACAAGCTACAATCCCTAAAGAAGGTGCTGCAGAGTGAGTTTTGTACAGCTATCAGAGAGGTATGAAATTGATATTTTTAGTTATTTCTCATAACATTCCTCTCCTGACAAGAAAAGTGTATTTGCCTTTCAGTGCTGGAGAAGCAGGACTACCTTGTATAGAGGATGATGGATGTGAGATGTGTCTGTAGCTGTCTGCTACCGTGCTGAATGCTGCAGTTACTGAAAGCAGATACAGAACAGTTGCGTCAGCAAGGCATGAAGCCTGAGGCAATTAGCCTTGCTAAGGAGAAAGGGTGATTAATTAGTATTTTAGTATTCTGTTCATGCTGTTTCAGAGTCTGTGCTAACCTGTGCAGCACTGTGCTGGGATACGGGGACATGCCGGGCTGGGTCACTGCAAGCTTAAATGCCTCTCCTTTGAGCTCAGGTGTGTGATAGGGATGTGCTGATAACATCAAAACGCAGTGAGAGACAAACGGTGCAAGCACTGAAGTTAACTGAAGCTGACAGGAATCTTGCCACTGAAGTCAGTGGTCAGGTCCCAGTGGGCCTTGCTCCACATGTCAGGAATCCTTGTCAGATTGCTAAGAGCTGTGATCATTACCCTGCCAGCCATGGCTGGGGCCTTCAATGCTCTGCCCAGCAGTACATAAATGTTTTCTTCTATTCAAGCTAGAGATAAAGCACCTCTTTTCCTACATGCATGCAAGCAGTATTTTCAAAGCAGTTAAATTGCAAATACTTCTGTTAGACATTTCTTAGACAGAAGCCATGAGTTAATACAACTTTGCGTCAGATTTCTTGCCTGTGAAGCTGAGTGCTGTTAGCTTGCCAGACAGAAGCAGCTCTAAATGCCCTGTAAGAAAATCTGTAAGAACTTCTGAGTTGATCTGTCTACTGCTTGGAACTAACCCTCCCTCATGGAGATGGATGGGGAAGCTAATGAACTGAACTCCAGATAATGAGGCAACAGCAGCACATTGATTGAGTGGGCTGCTGGGTGGCTAGAAGGAAGAAAGAGAGGAACAGACATGAGTTTAATAAACAAAATGCAACACATTCCTTGTTTTATGGAATATATTCTTCAATGTGAGAAACAACAGAGGCTTCCACTTCATTAAATAGCAGTTTTGAAGGCTTTTTAAAGGCAATAGTGTTCCATGACAATAAATAATGATGCTATGTACCCTGTTAAGCTGAAGCTGTGACTAGTCCTTTCATTTACCCAACTAAATGCTTTTTTAATTAATCAGAGCACTCAAAAGTTGTGGGGCTGGGTTGTGGTTTTTTTTTTTTCAGATGGCAGAGCCTAGTACTCTGGTTATTAAGTGCAACTTCCAATCATTGCAGCATCATCAATGAAATCTTACCCAACTTATATTAATCTCTGGAAGACTGTCTTGGCAGAAGCAAACGCAAAGCTTATTGACACAGGTACAGAGTCTAGGAAGAAGGAGAATGGCTTGGACAAACACACTTTCAATTCAGTGAACTGAAAGCAGATTTTGACAAAATCATCTCAGTGGCACAAAAGGTTTTTACTATTGTAGAGTGTTGTGTAAAGACAACCTCCATATGACAGACTGTCTGATTACTGTTGTATTCTCACAACCAAATAAGTCACTTTAAGAAGCTTGGAGCTAGTTGATACACAAGAATTGAGTGATGATGAATGAGCAGTTAGATCAGTTCTACCACGTTCATAAACAAAACCATTTATTTACTTTAAAACATTTAATTTATATATAACCTGTCTATCTAATATAGTAATATCAGAGAAAAAAATTTCTAAACATTAAAAAATTATTAATGCCATTCACCACTATGTGTGTAAATATTTTGTTAGAAGAAATCTTCAAATATAAAAGGCCCAGTAACAAATCTTTTCATTTAGAGAGCGTGGGAAAATTGACATATATACATATTGCTAGTACTTAAGGTTGTTTAACATGTGACTCCTCTTTTCAATTACTTACATTAAGCCCTTGGCAAATACTTAGACTGTAACTCCTTTTTTTTTCCACTGGTTGAAAGGTTGTTGGAAAATTGCAGACAATTATTTCTTCCATTTAAAAAAACCAAACCCACTAATTAAAAAACAATGGAATATTTTGGTCACATTACGTTGTTAGACACCTCCAAGCACTGCAGCAAGGGCTTAGAGGACATCTGAGCTGGGTCTTGACATTAATCAGGATGCCTTTATTGCTTGTCCTTCATGTACAGGAGTTTATGAAACACAGACAACTACTTCATTGAACAGCACATTTTTTTTTCTGAGTGTATTTGAGCTTGAGATAGCTGAGACTAGGCAGAAATCTCCCTGCAAGTGCTCCCTCCCGTTGTTTATCTTCTCTTATCCAGAGTGCAAGACATGGAAGTGTGGTGACTAGCTTTTAATTCCCTCTGTTAGCACCTACACAGACAAGAGGAGAAAAGTTGTTGACTTTACAAGTGAGGGCAGGGCAGTCAGTTGGAAGTAAGGAGAAAAGTGGGAGTTGTTTGGAGTAGCAGAGCCCTCTGGAGACCACAGTGAAGCATATGGGGTGTGAGCACTAGGTAGGAGTAATCAAAATGGGATGAGGAGCCGTGAAAGGCTTTGTATTAGTATGCAAATTCTGTAAGAGACTGTTCATTATATATAGAGAGAGATTCAGATCTGCAGTGTGGTGTGCTCATTATATAAAGCAAGATCTGAGCCTAAAGTTCTTTCATCAGAAAACCTAGTAAAAGAGGTTAAGGCTGTTTCCTGTAGTCCTATAAACTCCGTAACAGAGGAGCCTTGGAAAATAAACATTTTATTTTCCAGTCTAAGAAATTATGGACACTTAACTCTCCAGTGAGTTTGATTGTTAAAATATGTCCCGGAGAAATTCAGTATTGGACTGAGTTGGATCAGTTGTGACTTGTCCCTTCTACATGTAGAAATTCTTTACCTACAGAAGCAGGAGGTCACTTATATTCTCATTTAGCTTTTAAAAGTATGATATGTTTTATTCGATTATATGCATTCCAATCTAATGTGTAGGAATCTATTAAATGGCTGTAATGAATTGTATTTATGGAAACTTGCTCAGTAAGTAACTAAGCCAGTTCAAACCCCCATACTAATAGCCCATAGAAATAAAATCTTTTTAAAGTGGCTGGGTGAATTAAATTTAAATAGAAGTACTTTGGCATTTTTCTAGGATGCTGTGTCAGGAAATGGTGATTAATGGTTCTCACTTAGCTAAATATAAGTACCACCAACAGAAATATTCTGTCTGGCACTAGTCAAGACTATGTATTAGCTCTGAAAATAATGGAAATAATTGAAGTATGTGATGGTCTCAGTATTTCCTTTTCACCTGAAGACCCCTAGACCAGAAAACAAATTAATCAACGTTGGGTCACAATCAAACTGAGTTTTGGAAAAAAAAATTAATTGTGTTTTAAAATATCTTGTTTCAAAAGCTACATAGCTACATGAAGATTAATTAGCCTTCTGTAGCCTTGTCAGTTGTCAAAAGATGCATGAATCTTGTCCATTATACCATTAAGTCTTTTACCCTTCCATGTTGTTTTGTTGTTTATTCAAAGCTGTTGCTATGTTAGAGTCTTCTGATTCCTGGGGGGTTCCTGGAAAGATGAAGGGCAAGGCTGTGAAAGTGAATACATAATTGAACTACTGAGAAGGCATATTCACAGGCAACAAAAAACTAGGCAACCTGAATTGATAAAGTGACTATAATTGTTGTAAGTTATTAAAAAGGAAGTTACAAGAGATGTAAGATGGTGAACTGGCAAGAAACTTTAAAGAGCTGTAAGCACAGAAGATAGAATAAACAGGTGAGCAAAGCACAGTGAGTAACAAGAAAATGTGGCATGCCTTAGCAGATTCTGGGAATTTCATTTACTGTTAGCATCTGGTAATCAGTACTAAAATACCAGGAGAGTAACGATACAGTTTGATAATAAAACCTACGCATCTCATGATGAGCACAAGTTTTCTTTCAGGCTGATCCTCAAGTTTCTATTTCTGTATGCTACATATGTAAAATTCAAGTGCATCTTGCTTTCCTCCCAGCCATCCTCTGCTACTCTGTTTTCCATTTCAAGATTAAATCTAATGTTTTTCTGTGCGGAAGTATTAGTTTAAAAAATCTGACTGGTAAACACCTATGGTGAAGCATTTATCACTACTAAAATTAATCAGATCAGAAGTCTTTATAAAAATGTGGTGTGGCAGCCAGACACACACAAACAACCTCACCTTATCTTATGACTCTCACCAAAAGTTCACAGAAGAGCACTTTTGCAGGACTAGGCCACTGAGAATTATTTCTTAAAAGGAGGAGCAGTCAATACAAAATACTGTTGTGTATTTTGAATGAAATTAGTCTGTGGAACAGCATGTTGTATTTGAAAATAGCTCAGCTTCTACTTCAGAAGTTTAAAACTTATAAACATACTATAAAATTACCTTGTGGACAGAGCATCCGGAACATTTAAAGACCAATAGTGACTTACAGGCAAAAAAATGAGAGTGACAGAACACTAACCCATTTCTGATGAGATCTGTATGCCCCCTAGTTATTTCAGAGACTTATTTGGTTATGTTCTAGAATATTAAAAATATCTTTTCAATATACTCTAGTTAGGATAGTTCAACAAGCCCACTTGGTCTATCGGAATGATTTCCTTTAATTAATAATTTTCATTTTTTACCTTAACAATCTGAACGCCTGGAATCCCAGTGCTGCTGATATGCAGTGTATTATTACGTGGTCATTTCCTCCAGCTGCCTTCCTGTGCTTTTCGTTATTAACCCTGATATGGGTCTTTGCCAATATTGGGGAACCAGAAGAAGGCTGCTGGGTGCTGAAAGCTGAATCTGGTGATACTGTGCTCGTTACTTCACTGTGATGCAGTGTGTGACAGCAGGAGGCTGGCTGGAACCCTTACAGCCCTTTGCTTCAGATAGCCCATAACACTGGTGTACTCATTTTAAAGGGCTGTACTAAATATAACAATCTGGGTATTAGCTGGATCCAGGCAAAACTTCTCATTAATTCTTT